GTAGTCTGCCAGAACACAAATTTCTCCTCCATCGGTATTTCACATTGTAACCATACGTTCATCTCCTCATTAATTACTAAGTTTTAAAAGAATAATCTGATAACTACCGCAGTGTCTATTTTACTGTGGCTTGAGATTATAGTGGTGTGCTACCTAGGCAGAGACAAACGCAATCTCCACGACAACTGCAGAAAACCTGGTGGAGAATTCTTACTGCCATCAACTTCACAACTGTATTTTTTTCCATAAACATTGGACGATTTCCAATGAAATTGCCTGCATGATTGGAAAGTTATCAGAACTCGATGGATACAAAAGCAAGCTGGCTTGACTATGTCAGATAGTTGCTACCACAGACTGACAAACGTCAGGCTTGTATCTAGTGAGTGTACTATAGCCCATCACAACCCCCTCCAGCATTTATGACTGCCAGCTATCTTTCTATAGATATTGTCCAATTTTTCATGTAATTCATGAATATTGCTAGCTGATTATCAGTCCGGTTGACTCCATCCTACAGTGCTCACAAACACTAAGGCGGCCATTGAGCGCAGACTCGGGGGTACAATCCATTTTTTTGGTAATGCTTCACAAACAGAGAACCCTCAATCATGCGATTAGAAGCCATTTTCAACAAAATGACAAAACATTAATGCAACACTAATCAATGATACGAAGCTATCAGTGTTAAGTGCAGGATATTGTTGTTTTCTAGCGTCAAACGTTGTTGGTTGATTGAAAAAGAAATTTGTTTTGTTGATAGCATCAGACTTCACACTGTTACATAACACAAGAACACAATCACATGATACAACAAAACTGTCACATGATACAACAAAACAGTCACATGATACAACAACACTATTACATGATACAACAAAAATATTACATGATATAACAAAACAATCACAATTATCATGATACAAGAAAACTATAACATGACACAACAAAAGTCACATGATACAACAACACTATTACATGATACAACTAAACTGTCACATGATACAACAAAACTATTACATGATACAACAAAACAGTCACATGATACAACAAATCTATTACATGATACAACAAAAATATTACATGATATAACAAAACAATCACAATTATCATGATACAAGAAAACTATAACATGACACAACAAAACAGTCACATGATTCAACTAAACTGTCACATAATACAAATAATTATTACATGATTCAACTAAACTGTCACATAATACAAATAACTATTACAGGATACAACTAAACTGTCACACAATTCAACAAAACTTTTAAAATGATACAAAACTTTCATATGATAAACAAAACTGTCACTTGATGCAATACAAAACTTAATTTGCCGACTCCAATAATAAAAATAAAAATTTATTGGAAACAACAGGAATGTAGTTTCCCAGATTTATCAAATACATAGAAGTAATTTGAAAAAGGAATGCCATTACGTAAAATTGAATATCCGATCAATTAACCAATCAATCAGCAAAAGGTTATTTCCTGCGACATTTTAAACAATCAAAAGTGTCATTTCATGGCTGTATCAGACATCACAATGTCAAGTTATACAGCAAATCAAGTGCTACAATAGCCAATTGTTTTACTTGCTGCGGTGCACTGTGCACAATCTTCACACTGAAATATTGCTCTCTCATTGATCTCGTTTCAACACAACACAGAGTTACAAAATGTTACTAAGGATGGAGGTTGAATTACTGAGAAAAGGAGACTTAAGGATGCATGCTACCTTACTGAGAAAAGGAGACTTAAGGATGCATGCTACCTTACTGAGAAAAGGAGACTTAAGGATGCATGCTACCTTACTGAGAAAAGGAGACTTAAGGATGCATGCTACCTTACTGAGAAAAGGAGACTTAAGGATGCATGCTACCTTACTGAGAAAAGGAGACTTAAGGATGCATGCTACCTTACTGAGAAAAGGAGACTTAAGGATGCATGCTACCTTACTGAGAAAAGGAGACTTAAGGATGTATGTTGACTTACTGAGAAAAGAAGACTTGAGGATGTATGCTACCTTACTGAGAAAATAAGACTTAAGGATGCATGCTACCTTACTGAGAAAAGGAGACTTAAGGATGCATGCTACCTTATTGAGAAAAGGAGACTTGAGGATGTATGCTACCTTACTGAGAAAAGGAGACTTAAGGATGAATGCTACCTTGCTGAGAAAAGGAGACGTGAGGATGCATGCTACCTTACTGAGAAAAGAAGACTTTAGGATGCATGCTACATTACTGAGAAAAGAAGACTTGAGGATGTATGCTACGTACCTTACTGCCTATCTGTTGGTATGAGTTTTCCCTAAGACATGTCTGCTTAGTGATAATTTTGTAAATCAGGACCCCTACATTTTATATAATACAGCTCTTGAACATTACAGACGACTGCCTCCTCTAATCTTCAGAGATTATCAGGATTTATGAATCTAAATGCAATCAGTCCATTCTATGTTGAGTTACTTACAACATAATCGACTAAATGTTTTGCAACATGAAATGTGTATACACTCAAAGATTAATGCTATTCTACACCCAAAAATACTTTACTTACTAATGAAACCAGATGCAGTTTATGTATGTAAAAACCGACCCAAGATATGAACACTCAGCATATATGGTTTTTCATTTTAACATATTTCAATATAGCGACATGAGAAAACAGATTTAAGTAATATGCATATTTTTTTCTAAGAAAGTGCATTTGATTCGTGTATACAAACAACTGCTTAAAAGATAAATAGAGCTTTGGTTTGGTTTGTTTTACGTCCTATTTACAGCTATGGTCATTTAAGGACATGCCAGTCCTGGTGACTGCCCCACATAGGCCTCGAATCCACGACCCAGTGGTGGATGGCTAGTGGAAGCAGAATGTTAGACGCCTTAACCACTGGGACACCGCGGCCCCTTCATTAGAGCTTATTAAGCATTCTCTGACACGGTTTGTAACTGCACATCTGTACTTGTGTCCTAATTGACCACCATACATCAATTTAAATCTTCTTTGAAAGTTACTATTATCAATAATTAACAATAGTTGTCATTGCCTCCACTTGTGAGTACAAAAATGTTCATGATTCCATCAGTGGCACATCCCATCTCCCTAAAGATTTTACCTGAAGTCACTAGAATCAAGAACCAATCCTCGTTGTTCGTGATGAATTACCGCACAATAATATCTTTCCCATTAACTCTTTAGAACAGAGCTATGTGCCTGGGTGGCCATTACTGTTCTATTCAGCATCCTAAAGAAGCTTATCATCAAGCTTCATTTAATAATACAGATTTGATTCAATCACCCAAAAGATCATGATTTCACCTTTAACTTTTGTGGTTTTCACAGTAGAGTTCACAAAGACACCAAATGAAGGTGGCAGAGAGCAAGGAATGTGGTATTTCTAAAAATGATGACTGTTCCATATTACTGTTTACAATAATTGCCTAAACCCTAATGAACCGCAACATATTCACCATAATAAGTTACAATGATGTCAGTGTCAGTGCACAGTGAGTACCTTTTGGTAAAACCTGCAGTGTGTACTAACCTTTATAGCCAATTAAATGACATGACAGACTAGAGCCGAGGAACAGATAACATAATATCCCTGGTACTGAGTAGCAGTTGTAGATATACCGTACACAAAATGACAACTTACAGTGTGTAAGATTGGGTTAATTGACATCCTATGGAATTTAATACACCCATTATTTGGTGATGTTTAAGCAGCTTTTAGTTGAAAATGATCCATAACCATACATAACAAGAGCAAGAGTATGAAGGACCTCCAACACTAGATATCTCAATATCTTACAGAGTAATAAATGTCTAGCAAGCTTTCCTTTTCGTTTTGTTTTTTAGAGTACAATACCTGTATGAGTCTATATATGATCTTGAGTGAGATTTCATATATTTTATCTATGGAAGGATGGTCAGACAATGATACGAACATTGCTTAGTCCTACATGAAGTAAGCCCACTGTGAAGGACTAAAAGGTAAGAAACTAATGCAGGAAATATATTTAGTGGACTCATAAGGTGTACTGAAGCTGTACTGAGTACTGACATTGGGAGAGGAGTATTAGATGTAATTACTTTATATAACCTGGAGCTGTATTGGCGTATATGGGTCCATGGGAGTCAAGTTTTCGCTGTACTTACATGACCCTCAGGTATGGAGCTTCAAAATGTATATACAGTACTGAGTATGGGTCTGAGGGAGTAGATTGATAGTTGTACTTAAATGACTCTCAGACGTGGAGCTGTACTGAGTATGGGTCTGAGGGAGTAGATTGATAGTTGTACCTAAATGACTCTCAGACGTGGAGCTGTACTGAGTATGAGTCTGATAGAGAAGAGTGTCCAGTTCCTGAAATGGACGGTCGCCCACTTGCCATTGGCAATTAAATTCTTGCTCGGGCGACCAAAAGTTGTCAAAAGTGAGGTAGTCACCGACCCAACAAAAATAGTTTGGGCGACTGTCGAAAAAATCTGGGATAAAACCAACGATAGTCCCTTTCACATTAGCTGGGGGACAGTACCTTTTTGAGTCATTACTTCGATACGAAATGAACTGTCTGTAATTACGGTATATTACGAACAGTAAATATTAGAAAATGTGATGATTTTTTTAGATCTTCTGTATGCTGCGTAGAAATACGGCCAGGGGTGTCTTCTTTGAGGTGCGAGTTTAATGTAATTTCTTTATACTTGAGACCTGAAGGGAGTGGATCATGTCAGGTTTTAACTAGGGTTGAAGAATTAAAAATATAAGGTTTTATTCTGTTTTATATATTACAGACATTATCATGTTAAATGTGATTTTAAATGTGCTGAAGCATTGTATTAAATACTGTGGAAATATTTCTTTCCAAAATTATTGGGCCACCAACATGTCAATTGGGCCAGTGCTTCAAATATTTTACTTGCCCATTTTTTTTTCTTTTTTCGGGCCAGCCATTTCAGGCACTGAGTATCAGATCTACTTACATGACTGTCGGGCACTGAGCTGTATTGAGTATGGGGCTGATGGTGAATATGATGACCCGTTAGGTATAAGGCACCGTTGTGGTCATGGTGATGGTGGATATAACCATGGCAATCTGAAACAATAAACCATATGACATTGACATCTCCAAATATGTATTGTTTAAATTAGTGACATTCTGAATACATCGCTGCATCATAATCTCTGAATACAAAGCATGATTGTGTCAATCTCTGAATACAAAGCTAAAATGTGTTAATCTCTGAATACAAAGCTACAGTACTGCGTCAATCTCGAAATAAAAACTACACTGTTTCAATCTCTACATGAAAAGCTAAATTGCATCAATCTCAGAAAACGAAACTATAATGTGTAAATCTAAATACAAAGCTACATTGCATCAATCTCTGAATACAAAGTTACATTGCCTTAATCTCTAAATACAAAGTTACATTGCATCAATCTCTGAATAAAAAGCTACATTGCGCCAATCTCTGAATAAAAAGCTACATTGCGCCAATCTCTGAATGCAAAACTACAATTTGTCAATCTCTGAATAAAAAGCTACATTGTGTCAATCTCTGAATGCAAAACTACAATTTGTCAATCCCTGAATAAAAAGCTATATTGCCTTAATCTCAATATACAAAGCTACATTGCGTCAAAGCTACATCAAGACAATCTCTGAATAAAAAGATATATTGACTTAATCTCTATATACAAAGCTACATTGCGTCAATCACTGAATAAAAAGATATATTGACTTAATCTCTAAACTACATTGTGTCAAAGCAACATCAAGACAATCTCTGAATACAGCATCACATCACAATATCATGATGATATCAAATTACATTCTACATCCTGACAACCTCTTAATGTATCTCTGTATCACGACGATCTCCAAATGTACGGCTGTATCATATGTCATCTGTGAATACACTGCAACATCAGGAAAATCTCTGAATATAGTAATACATCACAGCAATCTATGAATACATTGTTATCATTATGATTGCTAAATACATGGCTATACATCAGGCCAACCTTGAATACATCCTAAATCAAAATCTCCAAATATATTGTAACGTCCCGACAATGAGCACACATCAATGACACCCAGTATCTAATGACAACAAATGTCAGAATGAGTTCCACCGTACATTTAAAATCCTCTCTCTGCAATCAACACGAGAGGAGTCTGACAGCCGTTAACTTGCTGAGTGGTATTGGAGCACACCTACCCTATACACACGGTAATCGATGACGGTCTGATTACGATAACTCAATCACCTATCCAGGGGAATAGTGTGGTGTACAACTGACACAGTCCTACCCATCAGTGTAGGACAGAGGCAGACGTCTGTGACCACTGTCTCCTGTTCCGACTTACTTCATACTGTAGATATTTTGTAACTCCAGCGTAAAGATCTATTACGTATATCTTCCCTGTACCCATCTACACACAATACAACCGGGACCAATAACTGCCGCCTATCCTTGTGTTTTGCCTATATACATGTATCTCCTGTTGTGTTCGATAAACAACAAGACAATGTTTTAGAAATGGCCAACAGCTATCATCTAAGATTAGTGTGAATAAGGCTAGAAATTACACAGAGTACATTCCTATTAGTCTGTGAATATATAGAAGATATGGACCATATACTAGCGTATAAAATCCCTCCTCCTTCAGGTGTCTGTTTCCAATTATAGCCAAAGGCTAACACCACACCCCCAATCACATAAAAATCATCTGAGAATTTTACCTTTTTCATTTTTCACACTCCTGTTTCCATACCATCTGCCATGCCACCTCCCAGATGTTAGAATGAAGGATATATGATATCATGTGTAAAACACAATCCTCAGGTTGTCTTATGAGATGCTGCAGCAATTAACTACAGGGCTGTGTTACTTCTATCAGGTATCAGCTAGTTTATCTGGTACACATAGCTTTGGCAGCCATATCTCAGAGAAATCCTGGTGGTTAAACTACCATTACTAAATAGTGCTTGGTGGTATGTCTAAACCTCTGGACTACTACTACTAGAAAATACTACCCTCTCTTGAATATGTTTGGTGGTTTGTCTAGAAACAGATTTGGCAGCTATTACAAGAGAAATCTAGGTGGTTGAACTACCATTTATCAGGTAATAAATATCTACCATCACTAGAGAATGATTTGAGAATGCTTAGAGATTAATTTAGTAACATGAATTACAATCACTAGAGAATGCTTGGTTTATCTAGAAACACACAACTACAATCATTGGAGAATGATCTGGGATTGATCTAGTAACACACAACTATAATCACTTGAGAATGCTTGGTTTATCTAGTAACACACAACTACAATCACTGAAGAATGCTTATAGATTATCTAGTAACACACAACTACAATCACTAGAGAATGCTTGGTGTATCTAGTAACACGCAACTATAATCACTTGAGAATGCTTGGTTTATCTAGAAACACACACCTTCAATCACTTGAGAATGATCGGGGATTGATCTAGTAACACACAAATATAATCACTTGAGAATGCATGGTTTATCTAGTAACACACATCTATAATTACTTGAGAATGCTTGGTGTATCTAGTAACACACAACTATGACCACTTGAGAATGCTTGGTTTATCTAGTAACACACAACTACAATCACTAGAGAATGCTTGGTTTATCTAGTAACACACAACTACAATCACTGAAGAATGCTTATAGATTATCTAGTAACACACAACTACAATCACTAGAGAATGCTTGGTGTATCTAGTAACACACAACTACAATCACTTGAGAATGCATGGATTATCTAGTAACACACAACTACCATCACTGGAGAATGCATGGTTTATCTAGTAACACACAACTATAATTACTTGAGAATGCTTGGTGTATCTAGTAACACACAACTACAATCATTGGAGAATGCATGGTTTATCTAGTAACACACTACTACAATCACTGGAGAATGCATGGTTTATCTAGTAACACACAACTATATTTACTTGAGAATGCTTGGTGTATCTAGTAACACACAACTATAATTACTTGAGAATGCTTGGTTTATCTAGAAACACACAACTACAATCACTGGAGAATGCATGGTTTATCTAGAAACACACAACTACCATCACTATAGAATATTCCTTACTTCCAAGCAATAGGTTCTATGGTGAATTTCCTTTCTGTGTTTGTCATTATACACATTTCTTTGTGAACTTTTATCGGAATGAAAATTTCCCCTTGAGAGTGTTTTAGAAATGTTTACCTGGGAGAAGGCGTGACCTTTAACTTCACCTTATATTGTTGTGTATCATTATCCGATATAGATATTCCCACCTCTATTATTATCCAAGGATTTAGCTGTGTGTTGTAAACAAAGACCATTCAAGCGTGTACTAGTGATACACTGAGACAACAACAGACAATTGCTGTAGTGTATTGAAAAGAGCATACAGACAGAAAAACACACCTTTAAATGTAGCCCTGTTAAAATAATGACAGCCTTGCCTTGGGTGAGAGTTGACATAGTTGGTTTATGTACCTGTGTAACCTCGTCAAGAGAAAGTGTATACATGATGTATGTATTGTTGTCAGGTAAAGAGACTAGGGGTAGTATTGATTTTCACTATCCTAGTGTGTGCCCCAACTCAGACACTCGCAGCAATATCCCCATCAAAACCTCAAATCCTGTCCTGGACGTACAGTATATACGCACAGCACTTTCCCCATCAAACCCTCAAATCCTGTCCTGGACGTACAGTATATACCCACAGCGACACACTCATCAAACCCTCAATCCTGTCCTGGCCATACAGTATATACCCACAGCGACACACTCATCCCTCAAATCCTGTCCTGGACGTACAGTATATACCCACAGCGACACACTCATCAAACCCTCAAATCCTGTCCTAGACATACAGTATATACCCACAGCGACACACTCATCAAACTCTCAAATCCTGTCCTAGACGTACAGTATATACCCACAGCGACACACTCATCAAACCCTCAAATCCTGTCCTGGACGTACAGTATATACCCACAGCGACACACTCATCGAACCCTCATATCCTGTCCTGGACGTACAGTATATACCCACAGCGACACACTCATCGAACCCTCATATCCTGTCCTGGACGTACAGTATATACCCACAGCACTTTCCCCTGGAAGTACAGTTTATACACACAGCGACACACTCATCAACCCCTCAAATCCTGTCCTGGAAGTACAGTTATCCCCAAAGCACTTTTCCCATCAACCCCTCAAATCCTGTCCTAGATGTACAGTATATACCCACAGCACTTTCCCAATCAAACCCTCGAATCCTGTCCTGGACATACAGTTTATACACACAGCGACACACTCATCGAACCCTCCTATCCTGTCTGGGTGTATATACCCACAGCACTTTCCCCATCAAACCCCCAAATCCTGTCCTGGACATTCAGTTATACCCACAGCACTTTTCCCATCAAACCCTCAAATCCCGTCCTGGAAGTACAGTATATACACACAGCGACACACTCATCGAACCCTCATATCCTGTCATGGACGTACAGTATATACCCACAGCACCTTCCCCATCAAACCCTCGAATCCTGTCCTGGACATACAGTTATACCCACAGCACTTTTCCCATCAAACCCTCAACTCCTGTCCTGGACGTACAGTATATACCCCCAGCGACACACTCATCAAAACCTCAAACCCTGTCCTGGAAGTACAGTATATACACACAGCGACAAACTCATCAAACCCTCAAATCCCGTCCTGGATGTACAGTATATACGCACAGCGAAACACTCATCAAAACCTCAAATCCTGTCCTGGAAGAACAGTTATACCCAAAGCACTTTTCCCATCAAACACTCAAATCCTGTCCTGGACGTACAGAATATACCCACCGCGACACACTCATCAAACCCTCAACTCCTGTCCTGGACGTACAGTATATACCCACAGAACTTTACCCATCAAACCCTCGAATCCTGTCCTGGACGTACAGAATATACCCACCGCGACACACTCATCAAACCCTCAAATCCTGTCCTGGAAGTACAGTTTATACACACAGCGACACACTCATCAAACCCTCAA